AGCTTTTATTCGCCGTTACGTCGCTTTGTCGTTAATTCGCGTTTATAATTCGTGTTTGCTTAATTCACGAAAACTTAATCCGTTTGCTTAATTTGGAATATAGGATTGTTAATCTAGTTTATGTCTTTTGCGCCTTTTAATTAACATAGGAATCGAATAGAGATCAAAATCGCTTAGGAAATTGGTAAGGTAGAAACCCGTGATAAGCCGGAACCGAAAACAGTAGATTGACTTATTTTGATAATCACTTATTTTAACCGCTTAATTGCATTTTCTTTATTTATCCAATCAGAAACCAAACCAACTCCCCCTCCATTTCGAATTTGGTAGATTAATCACATAAAAGAATCCTTGAGACGATATCCGAGTTGAATTGTCGCTGTATTACGTTTTCATCAAAAACACTCGTTTTGATCCGCGAGCGACAACTGATCAATGGGCTAGGCCCTCCACGACGGAGAGATGGATTGGGCCGACCCCGTGTGATGAGCGGGACAGAGCAATATATATATATATATATATATATATATATATATATATATATATATATATATATATATATATATATATATATATATATATATATATATATATATATATATATATATATATATATATATATATATATATATATATATATATATATATATATATATATATATATATATATATATATATATATATATATATATATATATATATATATATATATATATATATATATATATATATATATATATATATATTGGGCCTGGGTTATGTTTTCGACCCAGTTGGGTTATGACCCGAATTTGCTTTCTTTTTAAAGGAAAAATACTCGTGTTACTGTTCACCTAGTTACATTTTCACGTAAAATACATTCGGAGCTTTGAGAGAACCATGGAGAGCTAATTCCTTAGAGTCATTCTGCTGTAATCGCGTTCCAACGCTTTGAGGTATTTACTTTATCAATCTAATTCGTTTCTCTTTAAACACTATTCTATGAATTGCTTTTGCTTAATCTATTAGTTTATAGAATTGTTTTGATTAAATCCGTATGATTGCATCCTTAGCTTTTATTCTTCGTTAAGTCGCTTTGTCGTTAATTCGCGTTTATAATTCGTGTTTGCTTAATTCACGAAAACTTAATCCGTTTGCTTAATTTGGAATATAGGATTGTTAATCTAGTTTATGTCTTTTGCGCCTTTTAATTGACATAGGAATCGAATAGAGATCGAAATCGCTTAGGAAATTGGTAAGGTAGAAACCCGTGATAAACTGGAACCGAAAACAGTAGATTGACTTATTTTGATAATCACTTATTTTAATCGCTTAATTGCATTTTCTTTATTTATCCGATCAGAAACCAAACCAACTCCCCCTCCATTTCGAATTTGGTAGATTAATCACATAAAAGAATCCTTGAGACGATATCCGAGTTGAATTGTCGTTGTATTACGTTTTCATCAAAAACACTCGTTTTGATCCTCGAGCGACAACTGATCAATGAGCTAGGCCCTCCCGACGGAGAGATGGATTGGGCCGACCCCGTGTGATGAGCGGGACAGAGCAATATATATATATATATATATATATATATATATATATATATATATATATATATATATATATATATATATATATATATATATATATATATATATATATATATATATATATATATATATATATATATATATATATATATATATATATATATATATATATATATATATATATATATATATATTTTATATATATATATATATATATATATATATATATATATATATATATATATATATATATATATATATATATATATATATATATATATATATATATATATATATAAGAATCTTAATCGGTTGAGTAAGTAAATATAATAATTAATTATATTTAATAATTAATTATTTAATTGAATATGTGCTTAAATATAAGTGGATGTCAAGATAATCCATTTCGAAATAATGAGAATTCTAAATGATTATCATTCTATATATAGACTATGATCACAAATATATCATCCTATAAGAAGATTATCTCTTTTTATCCCCATTCGAAGAGTTTTCAAGACATTACGAGTACCGGTTGAGAAAAATCCACAAGCCAACCAGTGTCAAACACTTGTCTGTACACTTTTGTATTTTAGAATTATCGTTGCCATTGTCTAAAAATCTTTCTCATTATATTCGTTAAGGTATTCCTATAATCATTAATATCAAAATGTCATATATCCTAAGGTTTGTGTCCATGGGGAGACGCTTAAGCGCTCCCAGCGTGATGAGTGATCAGTGCATATTTATGCACTTTCTCCTATATTTTTACTATGACATTTCTTTACTTTATCTTGATTATTTTTATGTTTTATTTTGTTTTTATATTTTATTTTATTTTTGGCTTAATTTGATTTCCGCACTTATTTTTTAGCTTTAGCAGTCTGCACGGAAACGATCATAACTGGAGTTCCGGAAATCCGTTTGAGGCGCTTCTAAAATTCGCTGGAACGCTAAGAGAGAGAGCTACGACTTTCGTGTTGGAGTCTAAGTCAGATTCAGAGCCCAAAATTCCAGAATTTCCGTTTGAAGTTACTGCATTAGAATTTTACTTTAGTGTTGGGTCATGTATTGGGCCTGGGTTATGTTTTCGACCCAGTTGGGTTATGACCCGAATTTGCTTTCTTTTTAAAGGAAAAATACTCGTGTTACTGTTCACCTAGTTACATTTTCACGAAAAATACATTCGGAGCTTTGAGAGAACCATGGAGAGCTAATTCCTTAGAGTCATTCTGCTGTAATCGCGTTCCAACGCTTTGAGGTTTTTACTTTATCAATCTAATTCGTTTCTCTTTAAACACTATTCTATGAATTGCTTTTGCTTAATCTGTTAGATTATAGAATTGTTTTGATTAAATTCGTATGATTGCATCCTTAGCTTTTATTCGCCGTTACGTCGCTTTGTCGTTAATTCGCGTTTATAATTCGTGTTTGCTTAATTCACGAAAACTTAATCCGTTTGCTTAATTTGGAATATAGGATTGTTAATCTAGTTTATGTCTTTTGCGCCTTTTAATTGACATAGGAATCGAATAGAGATCGAAATCGCTTAGGAAATTGGTAAGGTAGAAACCCGTGATAAGCCGGAACCGAAAACAGTAGATTGACTTATTTTGATAATCACTTATTTTAACCGCTTAATTGCATTTTCTTTATTTATCCAATCAGAAACCAAACCAACTCCCCCTCCATTTCGAATTTGGTAGATTAATCACATAAAAGAATCCTTGAGACGATATCCGAGTTGAATTGTCGCTGTATTACGTTTTCATCAAAAACACTCGTTTTGATCCGCGAGCGACAACTGATCAATGAGCTAGGCCCTCCACGACGGAGAGATGGATTGGGCCGACCCCGTGTGATGAGCGGGACAGAGCAATATATATATATATATATATATATATATATATATATATATATATATATATATATATATATATATATATATATATATATATATATATATATATATATATATATATATATATATATATATATATATATATATATATATATATATATATATATATATACATATATATATATATATATATATATATATATATATATATATATATATATATATATATATATATATATATATATATATATATATATATATATATATATATATATATATATATATATATATATATATAAGAATCTTAACCGGTTGAGTAAGTAAATTAAATAATTAATTATTTAATTGAATATGTGCTTAAATATAAGTGGATGTCAAGATAATCCATTTCGAAATAATGAGAATTCTAAATGATTATCATTCTATATATAGACTATGATCACAAATATATCATCCTATAAGAAGATTATTTCTTTTTATCGCCATTCGAAGAGTTTTCAAGACATTACGAGTACCGGTTGAGAAAAATCGACAAGCCAACCAGTGTCAAACACTTGTCTGTACACTTTTGTATTTTAGAAGTATCGTTGTCATTGTCTAAAAATTTTTCTCATTATATTCATTAAGGTATTCCTATAATCATTAATATCAAAATGTCATAGATCCTAAGGTTTGTGTCCATGGGGAGACGCTTAAGCGCTCCCAGCGTGACGAGTGATCAATGCATATTTATGCACTTTCTCCTATATTTTTACTTAGGCATTTCTTTACTTTATCTTGATTATTTTTATGTTTTATTTTGATTTTATATTTTATTTTATTTTTGGCTTAATTTGATTTCCGCACTTATTTTTCAGATTTAGCAGTATGCACGGAAACGATCACAACTAGAGTTTCGGAAATCCGTTTGAGGCATCCTAAAATTCGTCGGAAAGCTAAGAGAGAGAGCTACGACTTTGGTGTTGGAGTCGAAGTCAGATTCGGAGCCCAAAATTCCAGAATTCCGTTTGAAGTTACTGCATTAGAATTTTAT